AGATACCAGCGGTGCCATCAAACCTGAGCACTGCTCTCAAAGCGTGGGGCTCTATTGCACAACCAGAAACCGCCGCGCTGGCACCGGAGCCATCGTCCCACCAGACCTCCTGTCAACACAGCGCTGTTCAACGCCGTCACGGCGCCCAGGACAGGGAAAACAAAGTGCAGAAGCAGGAGTGAGATTTCCAATTTGAGACTGTGTTAAAATAAACAAAAAACCTTATCTCACTGAGTCTTAGTAGAGGCTAAAGCCTCAGAGTGCTTCCTCATTTAATAAAACCAAGAAAGGGAAGCATTCAGAAATAAATACTGCGGACTTGTACGTCCTCAGCAGTTTTTGAAGTGGTTTCTGCAGGGCAGCTGGAGTCGCATCGCACGTCAGCTTGGCTATTCTCTGCAAAACAAGCCACGCATTTTCAATGAGCTGTCACTTCCCAAATCCCATTTCAGAAGTGATTCTGGCACTTGGCACGTATTTGCAGATTTGACACCCAACGCTTTATTGCTGACCCGAGCTTTTCGTGTCACTGGCAGCCCTGCACCGGCAAGCCAGGCTGGACTCCCGGCTCCAGCGCTCTGAGGCATTGCCATCTCGACGTGCTTCGGCCAGCCACCTGTAGCCATCATAACCAGTTAAGATGCTCTCAGCTGCTTAAGAGCTAGAGATAAGTTGCAGGGCTTGTTTTAAAATTGGGAAGCATTTATAAATCTGATGTTTTGTCTAATTCCCAAAAAATGGAGAAGAGAAACTACAAAAGACCTGATCCCACAAAGCTGCTCCAACATCAGCGGTCTGTGCATTGCTCAGGCAGGATGGATTTTCAGGACGAGATCCTTTGTGTTTTGGGGGGAGAAGAGGCTTGCAGAGTGGCCAGTGCTCTTTATTTACGCCTTGGTAATGAGGTTCCTGTGCACAACCACAGCCCCAGGCTGAAGAGCACACAAATGACACCCACATGGGGAGTCGGGTAACAGCGGTGATGGTTAAGGAGAAATTTCTCTAGAGACACTGAAGTAAAGACGATGGCGTACTACTCTGCATCCCCTCCAAAACAAAAGACAGATCCACAGCACTGAAGCTAACGAAGCTTGGCCCCCAGCAAGCCAGTCTCTTTTCATTAGAGGCAAACGTCGGATGCCCTCACTGGGGCCTCTCCTCCCCCTTGCCACCAAGTTTTATGGGACCTTCAGGAATGCAATTAGCACTGAGATGTTTCCCCCTTTGTCAAACTGCCTGGCGGGCAGCCAAAGGGTTCAAAAGTCGCGGGCCGTGCAGGCAGCACAGGAGGGCTCTCTTCCCCTCTCCTGCTGCCACCCGCATTTCAGAGCAGAGGCCAGAGTGATGCGCCGAAGGTCTCAATGCAAGCGGGCAACTTCTCCATCCGGAGAAAAACTGGGAGGGAAGCATTCAGGGCTTTGGGAAGCAACTGCTTGCTTTGTCGGAGCACGATGATGTGGATAACCCAGCTGCATCTCTTTTGGAGTAACCAAGCACTTCTGCAAGCCATCCCCAATGGCCCTTCCAGAAGCTGGATTAATGGTTTGAAACAGCTGCTCCGGAGCTGTTAACTGGACGTGGGGAGCAGCAGAACAAATGTCACTTATTAGTGAGTAAGCGGCATTGACTAAGAGTTGGATGCAACTTGAATCAACATTTACGACATGTTACAGATGACTCCTTTTCCTGCCCGCCTCACAGACATGGGACGCATGTTAAACTTCCCACTAACAGAAATCAAATTCTTGCTTCTCCTTCAGATTATCTCCTACCAAAAATTTGCTTCTCCACTTTGCGGGGAGCTATGAAAGGACAGGAGCTGTATGCAGCACTGTCTGCGGTCATCTCTCCTCTCAAACGCTGATGAAATGAGGTGCCAATATTTATAAACGGACCCAGGAACAAAAACGCTTTTGCTGGCCAAAGGACTGAGTAGCATGAGACAAGAAGCTCAAAGTTTTTCCAGACTATTTCAAACCCGCTGTGGCTTGAAACTGGGAATACGTGATGTCTGAGGGCAATCCACCACCCAACCCCGTGTCATGGCAGTGACTTGATGGGGACATCTTCGCTCCACGTCATAAAAGGAAGAACTGCCCAGGCTGGATGGTGATGGGCTCATGCTGCCTCTGAGCCGAGGCACGCAAAAAACTCAGCTACGTATGCGCAAAGCAGTTTGCATGCATGGATTTTTACTTCTCAGCTTGGAAAACTGTGCTTTCCTCCCTGTGCTCCCCCAAACCTCGGGTCGAGTCGGACTGGTTGCTCTCCCACCTGCTCTGTCTGGGATGGGCACTCAGAGGTTCATGATACCGTCCTGCTCAGCAGCTTGGGCAGGTGTAAATGCATTTGATGGGGAACACCACAGCCCGTGTGCTGAAACTGGGCTTGGGTTCCTTTGGGATGAAAACACTGTTCAAAATACGGCGATCAGAAATGCACTGAGAGGCGCAAAGCACCTTCTACACTACCAGAAGATTCATGCAGTATAAAAGAAAGCCCTTGATAACGGTGATGAGCTCCCCTCACGGGTCCAACCCAAGCAGCTCCCAAGCAAGGGCAGACACGACAACGATACACAGCAAAACAGCAGCTCCCTACACACTGCTTTTTTCATTTCTGCATCTGTAAAACCCGTTGGTGCCCCCTCGTAGTGAGATTCAGCCTGTGAGAGTGGTGGGCACCTGGACGCCGGGGCCTTTCAAGGACAGACGTTGTGCCCAGGAGAAGACAGAGGGAGGGCAAGGTGTCATTTGTCCCCCTTGCAAGAACAACAGCTGCGACCGGACCCTGTGCGACTGCCCCGGGGAGCATCCTGCACCCAAGGCATGAGCCAAACTCCCCTGGCTACCAAGTCTACAAATGCTGGTGGACTGAGATGTTCAGTGCCAAGCTAAACACATGGCTTTCTTCAAGAAGGCCCCATTTGTAGGGAGGAGAGAGCACGTGACTGCTGGAAGCCACCAGAGATGCTTGTGTAGCAGAGGGTTGTTTGTTAGGGGCAGCTTTGGGCACAGCCCTGCTGTGCAAGCAGACACTTTGGTGGGCTGGACAACTCCCAAGCCTCTTGGGCTGACAAAATCACCTCAAAATGTTCTGTCATTGGCACGGCACTTGCAACAGCTCAGATTTAGCATAATTACCGCTGGAATTTAAAAAAAAAAGAAAAAGGACAACAGAACAACAGCAATGGAAATACCAGAAGGCATAGAGAGAACCACCCCACACAGTCATGCCAGACTCCATTCCACCGCTGGAGCAAAGAGGAGGCCACTTGGCCTCAGCATGCCCTTTGTTTTCTTCCATAGCTATAAAAAGGACTTTAAAATGGCTTCAGAAAACACTGGAAAATCCCAGACGAACTATGCCGCTCTTCCCAGCCCCAAAAGCCCTCCCCAGGGACAGAAGAAAGCAGGTGCAACAGAAGACACACAGCTTGGCTTCCTGTGGAGTGGCAGAGCCCTGGCTCTCCTGATAAAATGGAAATTTGAGTGAAGAGATATCCTCCTCTTGCAGTACCAACCGCTACACCAGTAACTTCCAACCTCTCTTAAGCATCACTGCCCTGCTTGCTATTAAATATACTCCTTTTGGGACAGATGATGCTGCCAAAGCAACATGGTCATATGGAGAACCCCCAGGCAGTATTGCTCTTATTTACTCCCACAGCTGTATTTATTTCCCCCCCTCTCCATCTACCTTCATATATACCTTTTTCCTGCTTGGTCACCTCTCTTCCCACTCCTGCATCAGCAGGGAGAGCTCCAGCACTCCCAGTGTGTGACAGCCGCTGTGCGAGGTGGTACTGGCCTTTCTCACTGCTCTGCAATGGGGAGGCCCAGGGCAATGCCAAAAACTAGAGTATCACCTGCCCCATCTTCAGCAGCGCTGAAACATCACTAGCCAGGCTACAGGAAAACATCCTCCACCCATCTAACAACACAACCTTCTCAAACAGCCAGAAACTTGCAACCAAAAGGTGCCCCATCAGTTCCAGCCCAGCTCAGAAACATGCAGGGCAAGATAAACAGCGGGGAAAAAACCCACCGCTTCCCCAAAGAAAACATGAAAAATAGCTATTTTTCCAAGCTCACACTTATTTTGGAAATTTTGTCCAACATTTTCAGCTGAGGAAATATTTCACTTGCTTGAAAGCAGGCAAGTTTTAAACAATAACCTTTTGCTCAGCTCAAACTGAGGGAATGATGTCTGAGGGCTAATCTAGGCAATTATGTGCAAGGTAAATTATGTGACCTTGGACTTTTTGCCAGTTTAGCAAACACAGCTAAATAACTCCTCTACCTTTGCTTAAGCCAAGCTGACTGGCTACATCTTTCCCAGTGAATGACTTGTTTTCCCAGTGGGCAGAAAAATCTATACATAAAATACCTTTAGGAATCTTTAACATCGATTTTCTCTAATAAGTAACAGACTGAAACACAAGCCTTCCTTTCACCTGCACTGCACCAGGGGATTACTCCAAATGCTTCATCTTTAAAAAAAGATTGTTTCTGCCTATGCAGGGCAGGATGGCACATGTAGAAGAAATCCAACCTAAGAAGACAGCAAAAAGCTTCAGAGGATTCCAGCCTGTGCCAGTTTACTCCTTCCTTGGGATATACTTCAGCGTGCAAGAGATGTGCGTGGTTATGTCACAGTAACACCACCAGAGCCAAGACTCTGCTCACCGCCGTGGGACCCGGGCAGAGGACAAGCCTACCAGGAGAGAGCCTTTCACTCTAATGCTGGAAACTCAGTTCTGATCGGGATAATGCACTTTTTGCTCATTAGTGTGGACGCTCTTAAACCTCTGTCTCCTTTATTTCCATAAGGAAAAGAAAGGGAGTGCAGATCCTTACAGAAACAGAGCTGATTTCGGCAGGTGGGGCAGGCACAGCCCCTCGCACGCCCGCCATACGCCAGCCCGGCAGCCATCCCCACTCCGGGGCAGTTTCCTCATCCCCCCGAAGCAGAGGACGTGAGAGAGGAAAGGCTCCTACCTGAGCACAGGACTCCCTTGTACCTGGCGCATGAGAAGTCGTCGCACTCGCAGAAAGGCCCGTAGATGTTTCCAAACTCGCTCTCGTGGCAGAGGCACTGGTTGCAGCTGCACTCCCCTCTCCCGCTGCAGAGGGGTTTGCCCTCGGCCTCCCGGCACATGGCGTGGTGCATGTCTGCACTGGCACCCTCCTCGCACTCGCACCTGGCCCCCAGGTACCCGGCATCGCAGGAGCACAGCCCGCAGGCATAGGTCCCGTTGCCACTGCACTTGCCGCTGGCCGGCGCGGCGT